GAAATGGAGGAACACAGCTATTGTCGGTCTGTGGTATGCGTGGCGCTGCTCTAACACCTGCCGCAAAGTGAATATATGGTCTATACAGCCACGACCTGGGCGGAAACCTGCCTGCTCTTCCCTACTCCGAGATTTCCGTTCCGCAGTGAGACGACGAACGATAATCGAGGCCAACAATTTTGTCACAACTGGCGTTAGGCTTATACCCTGTGATTAGAACAGTCTGTGCGACTGCCCTTCTTGTATATTGCCACTATAATCGATTCGCTCCAATTAACCGGGCACTTCCTTCCAGACAAATTCGAATAAGGAGGTCAGTGTTTTGCATAGGATCTCACCTCCATCCTTAAATAGTGCAGGTGGGAGGGAATCCGGGCCAGCGGCACGAAAACGATAAAGGGCGGTGATCGCGTTTCGGACCTCGACCGACGGAGGCTCCAAACTAATCGTCCATGGCTCGTCCTGCATCATCTGAGTGGGAAGAGGTTCGGGAGCAGGGGGCCAGCTGAACTGATTTTGAAAGTGTTCCGCCCAACGAGCCATACGGCGCTTCTTATTGTGTATCAGCGCACCCGCGCTGTGTCTGATTGTGTCACTGACGCCTGGTTTTCTGGGACCAGTGGTGCGAATTAGATGGAAGAGTTTGCGATAATTGCCTACTGCTCCTGCCTCCTCCATTTCTTGAGCCCTTGATAATCTGCGCGATGGCCGATGCAGGATGAAGTTTATGTTTGAAGATGGCATGGTTGTATGTGGGCTGAGATACTGCCAGGGCGCCCAGACCTAGACAGGAGGACGATTAGGGTCCTCATCCAAAGCCTTTGGCTCAAAAGCCTGTCCGCAAGGCAGCGGGGAGGTGGCAAAGATTTAGTTTTACAGAAATGGATGCCATGCCACTTCAAACCCCCAACCTGGAGGACCAGGAGACTGAGTTTGTCTGACCCCTCACCAATGACCAACCTGGTAGGAGTAGATCTCAAGGTGCCCGGAGGCATCACCCAGTATAGCTCAATGGGTCAATGAGGTACGCAAACCGTCGCACCACGTTAAGGTCCAGTCTCGTTGCGACGGAGTGACTGGTGCAGTGACCATTAATAGGGTCACAAGCAGATGCTCCTGCGTCGTGCATGGCGGCCAAGATCCTATTCCACTGAAACAGTCATTAGGACAAGACAGTGAAAGTTCGGTACGCAGTGCATCTTGGTAGGCTTGGCTGACCGAGGGCTGAGACAATTTCGTAGTTGCCAATCGGGGGAAAGGCTTGGTGTGCCTCCCGGTAAAGTTCATGTAGAAACGATAGCGTACTAAGGTATGATCGGAGTGGACGCAATTATTCCAATACGAGCGGCAATCCAGGATGGAACCACGCCACGTGTAACTTATGGCAATGTGGTCAATTTGGGTCCATCGCTAGCCAGCTACAGGAGGACACCAAGTGGCACTTCGGCGTCCACTGTGTCTAAAAGCAGTGCTACTTAGAATCAACTGGCGCTCCGCACAGTTGCAGCTGACGCTCGCCGTTGTCATTCCGTTCGGAGTTAAGCCCATAATTGTCACCCTGCAGAGCAACTGAAGAGCTCATACGCACTACGCGTACGTTCATATCCCCCGCAAGTACTATAATATCTGAACTAGTAGCATTGCGTAGTAGCGCGTTCGGTTCGTGTTAGAATGTGTCTTTGACAGCATTTGAACTGCAGTCGGTGGGAGCATAAGCGAAAATCACAAACAGCGTTTTGTACTACTTCGTGCATCAACCTTAGCTGATGTCGTCGAGCGGGTTGCACATAAACGGCTGTTCGCCGGAATCCAATCAACCAACAATGACTCAGCCTTGGAGCTTAGAATGATACCTACACCAGCTTGACCCATGAGTGTTGCATCGGCATCTCCGGATGCATGCAACCAATATCGAGGATAAACCAGGGGCAGTTTACTCAACAACCCCATTAGAGTAATTGATCCGTTCCGGACACGCAACATACATAACCAGTGTGTCCAACGTGCGTGCGAGTGCAGCTGAATGACCTATTTGTCTTAGAGTGCGAATGTTGAATGCAGCGATGGAAACTGGACAGCGTGACTGTATAAAGGGCTGCTGACGAAAAAGCACCCGATGGGTGTTGTGGGAAGGTGGCTGCAGATTGTTCTACTCCAGTGACACTTCGGTTGCTGTCAAGTAAGCTGGGAAGTAAAGAAGGAAGATTGGTAATGGGATGGGAGTAAGAGAAAGAGGCCGAAAAGAAAGAAGGGAAGCGCCAACAGTAGCGTGTCTTTGCTTATTCGCCCTGTTGTTTGCAGCAGATAAGGCGAACCTTGATACTCTGCGTTACGGCCGATGCGGGATGAAGTTTTTGTTTGAAGAAAATGTCATGGTTGTATGCAGGCTGAGATACAGCCAGGGCACCTAGACCTAGACAGGAGGACGATTAGGGTCATCAACCAAAGCCTTTGACACAAAAGTCCGTCCGCAAGGCAGCGGGGATGTGGCAATGGTTTAGGTTTACATAAATGGAAGCCATCCCATTTCAAACCTTCAAGCTGGAGGACCAGGAGACTGAGTTTATCTGACCTCTCACCATTGACCAACCTGGTCGGAGTAACTCACAAGAGGCTCGGGGGCACCACCCAGTATAGTTCAATGGATCAAGGTACGCAAACGCTTGCACCAGGTTAGGGTCCAGTCTCGTTGCGACGGCATCTTCGATACAATCTGATCTGCAGTCTGTGGGTCATAAAGGGAAGCAGCGAAAAGGCATCTTTTCAGACGGAACGCGTCGACCCCAATAGAAGTCTGAAGTCGAAGTGCAAATAAGCAGATGTTCGCTAGTACCCAGTCGAGTAGATTGCCCACAGCATGTTTGCTTAGTGCCAGTGACTCAGTATCGCCAGAGACGCGAAAAACATAGTCACTCAGAAGTGTCAGAACCAGGGGTGCAAAAACGCCATGGTGATGTCTGGTATGTGTGTTTCGGAGAAACAGCACACATCAATACCAGGAGAGTTAAGAGTGACAGTTAGTGCTACTTGTTGGCCAATGCAACGCAGAGTGCAAACGCTGCAAGAACCAGAGTGAAATGAGACCCTTGGTTTGAGGGAAGAGTCACGTGTCGATGGAAGCAGATGTGAGGTCAGCGGCAGTCCCTTGCTCAAGAGACAGGGATAAAGAGATCTGAGAAAAAAAAACACAAGTACTGTCGAACATGTCGAAAGGACCGATTAAACTACAGGGCTTCCAATTCCTAGTGGGGGATTTTGTTCGAAGCGCCTTGCCACTAGTCTTTGGCTCAACAGTCTGGCCGAAATACACGGTTCCCTTGTTGGGACTCCACCCGGAACCATGTGCCAACAGCCTGACGCACATGATAGTGGAGAGTAAGCCCGCCCAACAGTGTAAAAGCTCAGATCCCCTGAGTTCCGTCATACACCGATTTGGAACTATTCCCCTTTTTCGACCGCGTGTTACGAACTAGCGACCACGGCCAGCCGCCGTAGGGAGTTGGCAACCCTGCTTCAATCCGACCATCTGGCAGGCTTGAGGTGGGCGGTAACAAGTAACTGCGCTCATGACGGTTCTCCAAACGTCAGAGGGAGCGCGTTGCGATCGGACCATATGGCAAGCGAACTATGAGCTTACAACTCGTAACCTGTTTTCTACCACGGCTGTTTAAGAGATAGGTACCATCGACCTCTCCAAGGTCTTTAAAGCGGATTGTGAGACTCGGCCTGATCCTAAACAGTGACCTGTCTGCTATGAGTGTCTTCGAAACACCTGGAAAGCGCCACCTAGTCTGGTTCAGGTGGTCTAGTATTGCCGCGATGGGCTCTGCAAGTGAATGATTTGTGACCCACCAGCATCGCAGATAAACTCGTTGTTATCAGATTTCCTGTGGCTGAAAGAGATAGGCTCAAGTGAGGGTCGTAGCCATCTCTAATGCACCTCGGGACCACCAAGCTGCGCGATCGCCACGAGGATTTCGCTTGAGTTGCTAGCTGACGTTGCTGCGACGCTAGCTCTGTAATGAAGTTAAATGAAAAGGTTAAGCGGTGGTCGATCAGTGACAAAAATGGTGCAGATAAAATCCCTTAGTGATGAGCAAAATTAAAGCGAAGCGCGAGCTTGTAGATCGCAGAGGTGAAATGACGAATGGAGGAGGAAAAGTAGTGAGGTTAAATCAAACACTTAACAACCGGATCGAGGTGGATAATGCTAGAAACCATGTAACCATACACAATACAGGTAAAACGGTGCGAAGAAATGAAGGCACAATGCTGACGAAGTGGATGCGTTAATAAGAGCATGCGACGTTAATGCGGGGGATACATTGAGAGCGAGTAGAGCTCAGAGTGAAGCTATTTTCGACTTTTATAGTATGTGTGGACAGGATAATGTATTGTCAGGTGTCAAGCGGCCTTCGAGTGCAATACATGAAGACGTATGAGCATCTTTGTAATAAACCAGCGAATGCACTTTTCGTTGTCCCGTGCTAGCCTCACTTTTGCCATGAAGCCACAATACAGATTTTTATTTGCAGCCGTTTTCTCAACAATTAGGCCTTTGTTCCGATGCAAGTTGTGTTCACAGCTTTGATACGTAACCGCAAGTTGGGATGTGACACGCTCATCCGCACACCGGCGATCCGGTTGCATTTAGAAGGTAGGTTAAGGGAGCATTCCGAGGTTTCGCCGTGACAGATCGATGAAAACGTTTAGCCTGATTAATGAGTACGGAAGAAAATCGATTATCTGCTCTACCACAAACTCGCTAGCAAAAAGAAAATCAGCAATGCGCCTACCCACCGTACCGATGCTTTACTGTCACGCGATTACCACCTTTCGTGCGTGGAGTTCGTATACCGAAAGATTGCCCACAACTACGCAAATTCGGATTGGTGACTTTAGGAGTATAAGGAAGGCGTGTTATCCATTCTGCCTCCAGTTAACTAGCTGGCGAATACGCAACAAACATTTAGGTAAACCCAAAAATCGACATAAAAATTGAGCCAACTTGACACACTATATTGACTAGCTGGTTGAATCTAGATGAGTTTATCATCAAAGCACCAGGAGCAGCTGTACATTGGATTCAGTGAGGCAGTTTGCGCACGTCAATTAACGGTAATCCGAGAGCTCCGTCGGGGACAGAAGACAGTGTTTCGTTACGGTTATAATGGAAGGAAAGGAAACCATGAACTTAGTCAGTTCACAAGGCAGCAGCTCAAGTTCGTTTAGTTCAGAATTACTGGTTGGCGTCCCGTTCAGGTGTCCATAGCTGAAACAGAAATGGGATAAATCTGACAAACAACTTACTGTCAGATTATCTCGAAGAAGTTGCATGATAAGAGTGCTGTCTTGATAAGATTCGCCTTGTATTTGGTCGAGCCGGTTAATGGCTTTATCGAACGCAGACTGTGCGAGTTCGCAGGCCTCGTTGGGGGAATTAAGGATTTCGTAGTAGAACACAGAGTAATTCAACGCCAAGCCTAGTCGAATAGGATGTGTAACACTTAGTGTAGCCTCAGCTTTCTCCGTGGCGTCTTTATATGCTTGATGAGCCGCCGCTGCTGACTCGTTTCGTTTAGGGCCATCCTGTACTTCAGTGCGATAACGTAAGTAATCCCCTTTCATTTTGTAATAAAACACCAAACCATCATCACTAGTTTCATTCGGAATTAAGTGGTTATCTAACATGTCCTATAGAGAAATGCAACAGGAGTGCGACACTTACCAGGACTTCAGAGCAAACCTCCTCAAGTTCGCAGACGATTTTGCGACGCAACTCGTTGGCTGGAGACTTATCATCATCATCCTTAGATTTCATGCCGGAAACTACGCGCCAAGCCGCTCGATGGGCACCAACAACATTTTTGTATGCCACTGAGAAGAGATTCCTGTCTTCGTTTCCAAGTGGCTTCTTTAGTTCGATGACTTTCTTCATGGCAGCAACCATGTCAGTAAATCGCTCGGAATGTTCTGCTAGCCTGGCGATATGAATAAGCACACCAACGTCCTTAATATCCTCTCGTGCCAGCCAAGACTCGCCAGACATTTATAGACAGAAGTATAAATAAGAGAGCACGCTGAAAGTCGGAGGGGCCGTCCAACAATAATCGACCGAAGGGTTAACTGATGCGGTTGCCTGGTACAGTCGGTGTATGTAAACTCATGTAGTTATGCTATCCTCTTTATTGCCTTCCATCGTAAAGTTATTTTCATTTTATATTGTATCCTATTTTATGTTTACGTTATTTATAATGGTCATAAATTTAGTTATCGATTATACGTCTTTGGGCTTTTATAGTGTCCCGTTATGATGAGTATATCAAAAAAGATTGTTTTATAGTCCCCTATGCTAGCTAAGTACAAAACTTTAACATTTTTGGCTTATTTAGCTTCATTTCAAACAACCACTCTACAGTTTTTGAATTCGCGCGTATCTTTAACAGTATCTTCCCGCAAAATGCCGACAGCGGAAGTGCAGTTCGAAATACGCCTATACTAAATTGGATTAGTGAAACGATTAATCTAATTACAATACAACGTATCTTAGAAAGTTTAACGCCTCATGGTCTTATTACTTTTCGACTGCACTTAAAGTGCCGGCTTCAACCTTACGCACCAAGTTAATGTTTAAGTTCACGTGGGACTGGAACGATAGGATTATCTCGTGAGTGTTCCTTCTTCAGCGGCTCATCAAACCAGGAGTTTGTAGTCGTGGTAATGCTGATGGACCTAAAACAAAATTACATCGCACACTGTCCACCTAATTACTGCCCACATATCCAGGACTAGCAGTCCCTGCTGGGCTGGTTACGTGTAGTAAGAAAGCTAAAAGCGAAAGTGGAAAATGCTATGCAAGTAGAATACCAAGATATTTGTGTCATTAAAAAAGAACTAACTTGTTAAGGTGAGTTAGTTAGGAGAAAGGAAATGTTTTGTTTTGCCACCCAAAAGCATCCATCTGTCACGCAAACCCTTTACCGTAGGTATGTTTACCACATGGTCTCCAAGCGAATTCCAGCGATCTATAACTCGACGTGACAGCCGAGTTTCCCTCCTATGCCTATAAAACCGCGGTTTATGCAGTTTCAGTAGGTGACCACGGAGATTAGATAACCTAGCGCGACTTAATAGCCCTGACAATTCCAGGCCAAACTTACCGGTCAAAGTCCGCTCACTGAGTATAAGTCCTCTATAACCTTTCAGTAGTGCAAGGGGTACATCCCCAAACTAAGCGAACATTCATATTACGTGTGTCCCCGTAAACCCTGCACTTACAGCTCGTCTACTCATAACACCCACTAAAAGTCCATTTTGTTTCGGATAAGACTTGATGGACAAACCTGGATACAGTATTCCAGGTGGGGTCGGACGAATACCGAGAATAGCTTCACACATGAATTGGCCGTTAAGACTCCGCATTAGCGACGGATAAACCACATCATTTGAAACCCCCGACAAGCAGCCTTCTTCCAATTGTCTCCGATTGTCACCACCGAGGACAACATTTCGGGTGGGAGGACTAGCTGCTCCGATTCGGAGAACAGAGCGCTTGACCCTATTTATGGGCATCAACCTTAAGTTAAACCATTCCCAGAGCCTATCCAAGGCACGCTGAGTTACCTAAAGACCCCGGAGTATCTACAGCGTACCAGAGCTTGCGGTCGTCAGCAAACTTTAGCGATGACACTCGTAGCTCCCACGGCAAGTCATTTACATAGATCACGAACGACATTAACCCCAATACCGAGCCCCGCGGGACGCCAATAAGGAAAACTTGCCTGAGCGGACAGCTACACCCACCCATATGCATTGTTCCCGCCTCTCTAGGAAGGCAGAGATCCATGCAAGGGCCCGGCCTGGTGTACCGTGATACCTCAACTTTAGTAAAAGTGGTAGATGAGGAACAGTGTCTACAGCTTTGGCCCACCTTTCGCTAGCTGTAAGTTGAGTAGCCAGATACAAAATTCCTTGCGAACTTTACTTTGTGCCACGCCGAAAAGTTTACATTTATTCATATGGTCCCTGGTAGCACAAGTTCAGATCCTGTCCAGATTAGCCTCCTACACGTTCCTATGAGAGCATTAGGCTAAACTGAACAGGATCTTGTACAGTGAGACGGCTATAGAAGGATTTTGTCCAGTTCACGTCGGACCAATGAAAATGATCCTGGCGTTGACCAATTGAAATTCACCGCTATGCGTGGCAATCCGGCAGCTCCAGAAACCTTGATTGCCTACCATTGATATCCGAATACGGACATCACACTACTACGCACTTAGTACCTAACGGATAGCTTGACGGTTCGCACCTAAGGTAGACGTAGTACGTGTTGCCTTAGTTGTTGGACGTGGGAACACACCTAGGCGGCGCTTCATCCGGTTGGTCAGAAAGCGTTATGGAGCTTACCGCGCACATGATGATAACACAGGGTTAAAGAAAAGGACAACCGAAGTGCAAGAATGCTTTGTTACATGAAGGCGTGTAGTACAAAAATAGTGTTTGCAGCAAAAAGTGGCGTTGTCAAAATGGTTCGTCGGATACGGCGATTGACAACGTTGGAGGCTAAAGATGTTCATAAAGAAGTAGTGGACACAATTCGTCTGCATTCCCTTCTTTATTTTGTTTAACTGACGGTCTCTTGTTTTGTGCAAAACGCAACCACATTTTGACGTAGCATATTACGTCGGCATCCGAGACTACATCGCCCATGCGTTGCCGATCGATGTCATTTTAGTTTTTATGGATTACTGTATGTCAACCTACCTTGTACAGTGACGTCCATAGTTGTTCGCCTAAGTGTAAACGAACCTCTCGCGCCTGAGTAATTCATCGCCTAGGAAAGTGGTTTTAGCATTGGCTGCTCCATGGTAACCCTGAAGACGAGTTGCACGTTACGTGCACAGCAGACAAATGGTTGTCCTGAAGGGCTTTCGCACAAAAGACCCAGGTACCTAAGATTTTGCAAGCGGGTTTCGCAACTTATGGACCACTTCATCGGGTCCATGTCATCTTCACAGCACTTGGTAACGGTATCAGGTGGACGCACTATGTGAGCAAGTATAAGTGATATATGTTGCAGAGTCTCATACCCCATTTGTCGCTTAGCAGCTGACAACAGAAACACTTCTTTGTAGCTGAATCCTGAGGTCAATCGTTTTATGCACGGTAAATGTTGTTACGACACGGAAACTTTGCAGTTAATTGATAACTTTTGTGACGAGGCATGCTGAAAATGAACACATATGTTTCAAACAAGCTATAACTGGAAAACCTGGGAGGTGTGCCTGAATATACGCTGTAACAAGGAGGTCAACCAATAGCGCAAAACAAAGCGGCAGCAGCGACAAACGTTACAAAATCGATACTGTGCAAATACTGGCCTACGGACGCATTTAAACCACACATGTTATGGTCAAATAGTGTCACTTATAACGTATACGAATCATTTATGTATGAACACCGCTGGCACTTGCTTTGGAACTTAAAGTTGGAGAGAAATAACTCGAACTTCATGGAAGAGCTGCACTATAGTGTGCATCAACACATGAAGCATAACGATCCCTGTATATCGAGCGAACTCAATCCCCAGAACTAGAGTCGGTACTTCCCCACCAACGCAGACCAAATTGGATTTCACGTCCCAAAGCAATTTGCTAAATTTTACTAAATTTTGCCATACTCATTTTTTTTATTATTAGTGACAGGCTCATCTAGCTCACAGATTTTGGATACATAGCCTCATGAATATAGAAAATCGGCTCTAAGGGATTGTTGGGCCGAGCCTGGGATACTAGTCGGTAAGCAATAACACGTAAGACGTGTCAAATACGACAGTATGGAAGTCGGAGGCGACTGAACCCAACGTATATTGTGCAGGCTACAAGAATAGGAAGCCAATCAGACAGAGCGACAAACGTGCAGCGACGTACTCACCAAAACGATTTGTGACAACAGACGTGCAGTCGGTAAAACAAGTGGACGCTTCGAAGGTTAAAACAACCGTGAAATCTAATGTTACAAAATACTGAAAGAGCTTGTTTTCCGGTACACTACAATGGCCTCCCTTTAGAAGGCTGCAGAATGGAAGTTTTCGATGGAGCTGTTAGTGGGGGAAACGGAAGGTGAGTGTGGATGCGAATATTTGCATTAAGGGCTTCCAAACTGGGGTGTGTAGCAGATTTCGCTGGGTCCAGGCTTTTGTTAGTTATTTATGACGATCGTGTGGACCAGAGTGCATCATCGGTGGGCCGTCGCGGCGGGCTGGCCGGACTGCAAAATAACTGGCTAGTCCAGAAAAAAGGCTGACAGGACCTTCCCTTTGCTGTAGACCCGACGGTGCGCTTGGGTGTCACTCCCCCCACCGCACTTTACTCCACGGTCCTCGTCCCACGGAGAAATCTAGGCGGCCTCGTCCCACGGAGAAATCCGGGCGTCCTCGTCCCACGAAGGTATGCAGGCGTCCTCGCCCCACGCAGGAATCCGGCGTCTTCGTCGGCAGTGCCTGGGAGGCATTTTAGGACCAATCCGTTCGTGGGTGTCTGCGGTCGAGGGCGACTCTCCGTTCCTTGGGTAAGGAAGGGGGCTTTGGGACGGCTGGCGGGTCACTCCAGGGTTGCCTTGGCAGTTCCGGCGGTTGAGTTTCTGGAAGGTAATACTCAGACGGGGTGGGCAAGGGTCGGGGAAGTGGCTTGACGCCGGAGAGGGAACATGGCATGTATGATAAAAGCAAATACGCTTTTCAGGTTTTCAAAATGTTTTGGGGTTTTTTTGTTGAGTTTGTAAAACGTTTGTGGATGAGACGCAGGATAACCATTAAAGACGAAAACGGCGTGGTAATGGAAATAGCAAACGCTTACAGAATCTGAAAAACGGACTGGACGTTTGACCTGTCTACCGCGGCGGTCGGTTGCCTGGGGTTGCGGCGGGATAGGTTGCGGGTCAAGGGGTACGGAGGGTTCCGGGCTAGCCAGTGCTCGGGAAGTCACCACAGGTACGGGTGCTTGTGCGACAGCATTAGGATGGGCTGCAAGTGGCTAGTCAAAGAAAGCCACTTTGAGGCGATCGATGGACACCGTTGTTCGGTGCCCATTCTGGTCTAAAGTAAAATGTTTCGGAGTACGTTGCAGAACTCTGAAAGCGCCAGTGTAGGGAGGCTGGAGAGTGCGCCGCACAGTGCCGGTGCGGAGGAAGACGTGAGCACAGGTAGATTCCACTGTGCATTTGCACATCTAGTCTGTTCACGGGGCGGTGTCGGGCGTAGTGAACGTATGCGTTGAGCCAGGGAGGACGCAAAGTTAGGCGCAGGCATACCGGACGATGCGGGAGGTGAAACGAATTCTCCTGGCAACTTGAGCGTCATGCCGTAAACCAGCTCTACTGGCGCACATTGTAAGTCAGCTTTGACACTGCTACGAATGCCTAAGAGAACGAACGAAACGT